ATCTTTAACGTGCGCAACTTGCACACGGGCCCTCCGAGATTTTTCGCCCTTGTCCCAGAAGGCTAGGTGTAGATCTTTCCTACCAGAAGATCAGGGGTGTGGCAGAAAGATAACAGTAAGGAGGAGCCAAGGAGTAACAGTAGAAAGGCTGCAGAAAGAGTCAGAAGTCCAGATGACGAGGCAAAGGAGGTGAAAGTGGAGGCAGAAAGTGGAAATGAAAGCAGACAACAGAACAATGCTAACGAGCAGGAAACGAGGTGAAAGGAGACAAATTTAGAGAAGAAAATTTTTCGGTCGCTACCCGGATTCGAACCCGGAACCTTTTGAATGAGAGGCCAACACCTTAACCTCTAGGCCACGAGAGCCTCCCTTCCATGTTGTTTTTGGTCTTCTTATGTTCGTTATTCTATCGAGTTTGTTTTTTCTGAGCATGTGTTTAGGGGGGGGGGGGGGTTGTTTTGTCTTGTTGTGTTTCAATTTTTATTTTTTTCCCCTTAAATTGTCATGTGGGAGTGGGGAAACGGGGGTGGGAAGGGGCAGGGGGGCGGCTGTCTTTTCTCTTTTCCCCGTATGTATTCAGTGTCCTGAGTACAGATGCTGCGCCAAGGGCACGGTGGGCTTGTTACACAAGTCTTTGACACAGCAGAAGTGGCAGACTTTGCGATCCGTGGAGTCCGCCGTGAGGTCGACACACTTACTCCTGTCTGACGAGCCCTGGAACCACTTCTCCCTGCACGTCTTCACACTCACACAGCTGGAGAAAGGGGTGAAAAGATTTCACTGAAATATTATGGGGAGGTATTTTGGTGTTGTTCTTTTTAATTTCGTTTGTTTTTCTATTTTTAGGGAAAGTTTTACGTCACATGCAAAACTATAAGGTCTTACGTTCTATCTCCTTTTTCGTGTTTTGTTTTTCTTGAAGCATAACAACTTGTACCATGTTGGCACATTTTACGTAACTTAATGTTAGCACCAAAATCGGGACACGGGACAAAAAAAGATCACTATGTGTACATAATACTGAATGGGACAAATTTGTGGCGCAATTTATCTTCAGATATCTCTCTAACGGATGAGTCAATGTCCTCCGTACATCGCACATCTGTTTGCATACATTTGTATTCAGGCATTTAATAACCTCCTTTGCGTTGATTTGATAGGGAAGCTGTTACAGTAGTAGTATAATCAGCTTTCTTTTGTGTGTTATACTTCTGACGTCCGAGTAATAATTAAAATTTATTGTTAAGTCTTTACAGAAGAAGAAGGAGAAGAAGAAGAAGAAGAAGAAGAAGAAGAAGAAGAAGAAGAAGAAGAAGAAG